TGAAAATCGAATTTCAGACAAATGGAGGCGTCAATTTTCTATCAATCACCAACGTACACAATCACCCGATTGTGCACACAACGGTTAAGATACTTTTTCTTAAGCCTAATGGTAAATTGCTCTTAGTAAAATTCAGTTTATTCTTAAAAATAATACCATTTTATTTCAGGCCAAAATTAGATTAAAAAAACAATTACTCATTGTGGTAATTTTTAACAAAATACACCATTTATATAAAAAACAAGATCTTCAAATTATTCTCGTCTGTTTACCTGTGTTTGTTTATTTATTTATAATGAGACTTCAGTCTTGAAATATGAACAATACTTCACTCATCTACTGCACAGCAATAATTATGTTTGAATAAGAAGTAAGGCGCGGTTTCTCTGAAATACGAAGCTAGCTCCCGGTGAGCGATGTTAGCCACAGAGCATGTTCTGAAACAGGGTTTGTGGCTAAGCAGTAATTAAAGACTACAGACAACTTTTGCCAGCAGACTTAAGTATTCTTAGTATAGTGAACCGAACTAACAAATGCTTTAAAACTTTGTACAATTGCAACCATATTTTGGGACATTATCGATAAAAAATGAGAATTTTAATACATTGCAGTTACTTGTGTAGTAGAAAATGTATATATAATTTAAATACGTCACGGGAGACGGGTCACGGGGAGACCACGGCTGCTGCAAAGCATCCGAAACGTCGGGCCGAAGTTAAAAATCATTTTCAAATAAGTTTAACTAATATATCGCGTTTTAAACCGTTAAAGTGTTTTATTTAAATGTGTACTACTCGCGTAAACTATAGACAGTATTTAATGTATATATAAAATTAAAATAGGAATTGAAAAAAATTACGACACGGGCAGGACTTGAACATCGACAGATTTGCGTGCACTTTATTAAACCATTTTATACTTGATAAATAAAATAAATTAATGACTTTATAGTGCCTTACCCCACCGAAAGTATGTATTTATGTCATTCGCAGTTAACCAACTGTAGTAAAAATAAATCCTGCCCACTTTTTTGTTGTCTTCTCTGATAAATATAATACGTAAGCGTTTCATTGTAACAGAATATTAAAGGAAAATATTATGAAATATTCCATGGAATTATAACGCGATACAAATACAGCGTGGGGCAGAAACTAAAAGAATCTACCAACATCACAAAAATCATTCCGAATATTGACGATCAAAAAGCCCGTAACGAAAATCTTTCTTCCCTGTGATGCCGCATATTAAAGCCTCACGTTGCCCAAAATGAAGTGTTTCAGCTAAATATTAAGGCTGACAACACATTGCAATATTAGTTATTGGTGTGCGCAGCTTGTCCCGTAAACCGATTAAGTTCGTACAAAGCGTTCGCAACTCGCTTTTAATGAAAATCGGTTCATCAGCTCGCTAATAAAATCGCTGGGCCGCTTACCGTAAATCCGTAGCAGAGTCCATTTTCGTAGCAGTGTCCATTTTCGTAGCAGTGTCCATTTAATTAGTATCTACAATTGTAGGTTGCATTTTTATCAATTAAGTCTCTCAAATATAAAGCTTTATGCCTTAAACATTATAATCTGCATGAACGCCTATAAAATATGGTTTTATAACATATATCACAATTTGTTTATACAAAATTTTTGTGAATTTCGATTCGCATAGATTTTTTATATCTATATTATTGAAAAGAATGTTAAATTAGTAGAAATTTACATGATTAACAGTCAGTAAATAAATAAGTTTGATCAGTAGAACACGATTTTTTTAAAAATGAGTGTGAAACGCTGATAAAGCACCCGAATGTAAGGCGATAGTTGAATCCATTATCATACCTACAATTGCGTTTTAACTACAAATAAAGCTGAGGAGTTTGTTTGTTTGTTTCAATAGCGCGGTCAAACAAACAAACTCAGGAACTACTGGTTCGAATTAAAAAAATATTTTTGTAGTGGTTAGAACATTTATCGATGAAGGCTATAGGCTATAAAACATCGCACTGCGAGTAATGGGAGCTAAGAAACGGTAAATGTGAAAAAAAAATGGAAAAAGTAGTCATGTTTGTGGATTTGCGATGCGTACGCTGAGAAAATGGTTCGAGATATAAAAATAATATGTATGAAAGAATAATTCCTCTTTATATGATCTAAAAAATAGTCCGCAACACTATTGCCGCCTATCTTTTAAGTTGAACTTGCAAGAACGATGGGACGCGTCCTATGTCGTGGGTAACAGCTTTAATTTGTGAAGAATAATTATTCTAAGCGGACGAAGTCGCTGTCGCAGCTAGTAATATAATATTTGAATAGAAAATACTCACATCTTGCTGCATACATTATTATCAAACGTCTCTAAGGAGAACTTAATAACCATTAGGATAAGCCTGCACATTTGTACCGTTTTCTGTAATATATGCGAAAGAGTCGAGTCCATATTTTAGCAAAATACCTCCAATAATAATTGGAAGACATTTGGCACAGTCTCAAAAAGCACTCATAGCATGTATCCACTTGGTAAGTATTAAATTAAATTTAACTTGGTTAAAGGAGTTTTATCGCGAGTTTTACATAAAATAAACGACTTAAATCTTTCTGTAGAGAAGTCAGGGCCTTTAAGTGAGTTAACAGTTACAAAACGATAGCGAAGTTCGATTAAATCGTGCAATATTATACTTGTAGGTATTTAACAGCCGTAGCCAGGGGCACTCAGCGTCCATCAAGATGCTCTTTCGTAAAGATTTAATTAAATTCGCACTCTAATGCTACACTTTGTTTACATATTCAGGTAAATACTCTCTAAACTAAATAAAACGAAGAATCTCTCATTTAACGTTGGGTAATAATTGTGTAGCAACGTGTGATAAGTTAAAACTGCGGTGTTGGAGATTCAATATTCTTTTTTAATTAATATTTTAGATTATGTAATTTTCTCATTTATTTTAGACTAAAACAAAAAGTCACACACAGCTAGCAATTGAGCTCTCTTGTCTACGGGTGCAACAGTGTCAATGCCAATTTTTGTCAAAAAAAATTCTCAACTTGAAACAGCCAAATACCAACCTTTATTAAATTAAGGCACGTCGCGTTAAAATAAATTCAAATTCAGAATAGTACAATGCGTAACGTAAAGTTAAATTATGTTGTTCTCTTATCATTGGAATGAGAAACCTTATTTTGGCGTAGATAGATGTCTACTTAGTACCTAGTTGTCGGTGGAATAAAAAGAAATCTTCGCATTCAATGAGCCGGCGAGTGGAAATGTAATTTTCTTCAAGTGTAGATAAACGGGGCATCCAATGTGATATGGAAATTACTTCGACTTAGTTTGCGTTTTCGAATACCTTTATTCGTATTAAAAGCAACCTAAAGTCGAATCGGACCACGACTAATTATGTGATGAAAAGCCGGAAATCGTATTCGTAAGTTGCTTAGGTACTGGAGCAAACTTTATCTTTTGACACATAGTACTACTCTACTTTGTTAAAGATTGATAAGTTTGACAATTCCTGGTGCCATGATTTGTTCATTGGTACCCCAAACTAAGTGATTATCAAGTTACAGTTAAGAATCAATGATTAAATATGCATTTTCTTATGCACCATATTGGCATTAGGAATTATATAATCTCAATCTATATCATATACCTACTGTACATTTTTAAACTTATCATCCTATATTAGACAGAATATTGCTACTACTATTACTAAATGTAAATACGAAAGCCATTGTTTGTAGTTAGTGCTACAAAATAATATTATTAAATTCTCAATTCTTTAAATTTATCACGAGTAACACTATACGCTTGTAACTTTGTCAAACCCATTTGGTATTAATTTGAAATTATAATTCGGTCGTCGTTCACGTCGCTTGCGGTTCTAAGGACAATTGTAGAGTTATTTATGTTACACTGGAGTCTGTTTTATGGAAAGTATGCCGTATTATTTTTAGGCTATTAAGTTAATATTAAATAAGTATAAAGTTATAAAAAGAGCATCTTGACCGGACTTTAAACAAATAATTATTTTACGAACGAAATGTGATCGTTCTGTTTGCGGGTCTGAACCTAAGATTCACACACGAACATCAATTACAGTATGATGAAGTCAATACGTTAAACACCATTTCTAAATGAATACGTAGGTTGGTAATTCATATTCACAGGACAAAGGAAATTTTGCGGTGCAATGCGGAAAGCAGTTAATATTACTTTGATATCCAACTTACCTTTCAATATGCATAAAACAATTCTACGTTTTATTTACCTAATATAATGTTTTTAAAGCTTTCTCTTGGTTTTGGTATAGGTATAGGTAGATATTAGGTGCTGCCAGAACTAGTGTCTAATATATTATAGAAACTTTGGTCCGTGGTATCTTCTTTTATATGCAACGTAGTACTATTGTATGAACTTGCTAATATTTTATTTGAAATTTCTTCCGATGTACCGAATTCACGTTTTAAAAATCATTGTGGACTTAAATTCAAAACCAATACTTCATTTTAGAGTCTTTATTACAAATAAGTACAATTCGATTTTCACAAACGTACGATTCTGCAAATAAATTACTATTTTTAACTATTACAGAAGAAGACATTTCTTTTTAAGTTTTTATTATTTATATATACATTTTCAATAAACTACTATTGAAAGTCACTGAGGACTTCGCAAATTTTAAAGATATTATATAATATACATTCTCCGATATGCTACGTATTCTAGTACGTCAATTTTTTTATGTTATTGTTATTATAATATTTGTATGCATAACAAGAAATAGATAAACTATATTCAATCACAACATTAACGTTCATTTGGTAAGCTCATGAGATCACTAGGTTCGTAGAGTCGTATAGCGCGAAAGTTCACATCACTCAGTCATACAAGTCTTTTTTTGATATTGTGGATATGGTGTAGAGCCCGCTGCTTTCGGTCACCTCGTCGGTGCTCTCCGTCAATCAGGAAACCTCCACTTCATCTCGATAAAACAATCTGCGCCGCTGTAACCCTCATGACTCTCCGTTTGGTGCCATCGTGACTGTGCTGCAGTTGGCGCGCGTCGAACGCGTCGAACTTCTCCGCAAACCGGTGCCGCCGACTCGATTCAATAAAATCACATTTTCGCTCTTTCTCTTACTGTGAAAATTACAGAATAGGAGTTCTCTCATGCCCTTCCTGAAATTCTTAGATAAAAACGCGTATAGTAGCGGGTTGATCCCGGAATTGAAGTAAGTAATAAGAAAGGTGAGGGGAGTGAGGAGGGCGCTGAAATCGCTCGTCCCTTGATATCCGCTCGACCAGTATTGCCACATTTTGCGCGCGTGGAATGGAAGGTTACATATTGCGAACGTCAGCACGACAACTATTAGCATCCGAACAACTCCTCTTCGAGCTCTCAGCACGTTTCGGGAGAGGTGGCTCAGATGGTGACAGCTTCGTCCATCATGGCGGCTGCTTAATCTTTTGGTTTTCAGAGCCGATTTTGGAGTGCCCTATAAAAATGAAACACATAATATATACTTTGCATATTTAACTGTTATAGTGATTGTTTCTTAGAGAGAAGCTATATTTATGTAGATATACAAGAAATATTTTTTTTTAAATTGATAAATAAAAAGCACTTATTATGTAAACATGATTGGGCACAGACTGTTAAACCCGAAGTTTTTTGCTGCGCCCGAATTTTTATTCCGTGTATTTAGTCTTTCATTGAAAACTGATTACATAAACATGCTATGTTGTTGGGTACAGTGTCCTCTTGTTGTACGCGTAATTTAATATCAAACCGTATCCTGCATTATCATTTACTTTGTTAATAATTAATTGTATTATTTGTACTTACATTTATATACTTACGTACTTTAAAAAATCATCTGTAAGAATTATTAGTTTTCAAATAAACATAGCCAGCAAATAAAATAGTAAAATCGAAAATTTCTACTCTAGCATTGCTTTCAAATATTTACGACCAACTGTGAAATAATAACGCAGTTTGGTCCAAATAAATTCTACGCTTTTTGTGAAACGTAAATATTATGTATCTGGGATGTATTTGGAATTTACACGTAGAATTTCACCTGTCCACCAACATTTACATAATTTTAACTTGGGATAGTTTCTGCGGAACTAGCATACGTTATGTCAAACTGAATGTCGGGACGATTTATCCTACAGAGAATTGCGAGATTTAAGAAAGATTATCTTGAGAAATTAAAACAATTATTTTTTTACTACTGTCTGCAGTTCTCGCGAGTAGTATACATTTAAATATGTTTTATTTAACTTTAACGTTTTAAAGCCGATACTGTGATTCACGGGGACTGTGAAGCATCCAAAACGTCGGGCCGTAGTTAAAATAATGTCTTAATAAGTTATATCTCGAGTTTAAACGGTTAAAGCTTTATATTTAAACATTTATCGTATATGTTTTGTTTTCTTTACATATTAAAAATTTCATCTAAGACAGTAAAATTTCAGTAAAAAATCAGAAATATTGCATTTAAAATTTAAAAACATTAGTATTGCAATATCATATTATGTCTAAATAAAACACTCAAAAACTTTGATATGTTTCACATGTTATTGCACATGAAGGCACTATGTAATTTAAAAAAAATCGAAAATAAGTTGAAAAAATTCGACGATGAGATGTTGGACTCAGTAGCTCAAATGATAGAACAACGGCACGGAACGCTGACGATGCCGGTTCAAGTCCTGCCCGAGTCGTACGATTTTTTTCAATTTATTTTCTTTTGTTTGATTTTTAAAAATTACAACACTTAAGCAAAATATATTATTAAACCGATTTTTAATGTATTTTCACTCGACGTTTCGTGTGCTTTGTTGCTTGTCGTAGTAAAAAATAATTTTAAGAATATATTTCATGTTTATAACCATGTATTTTAATTTCCATGTACACGACAGAAAAAAGATCCAATGAGGTCGATTTTTATTTTTATCCTCGTTTCGGTGTCCTGGGTTTTTAAACCGTCTTTGTGGCTAAATGGGTAAACGTGTTGCCAACGATTGCGTGAAAGATTTCGGGTTCGATTTCCAGGGAAAGAATACATTGTTTCAGTTGGGCAGGGCAAAGAAGCGTGATCAACTTTAAAGAACAACATAAAGAATCGATTAGTGAAACGGCACAGAAATGTGTTCGCCCTATACCCCACGGGAAGAAGCGGGATTTCACTTCTTTCATTTCAAGTAGAGCTTTTAAACATTGAGCTACGGACGTGGGTGGCTATTTTATATACGCATTTAATTTCTCACAAATGAGGTAATGGGAGTAAAATTCACAAAACAGAAGTTTATTGTATGTTTTATTCTCGGAAGCCTGGAAAAGACCCTTTTTATTTTCTCATTATACAATGTAACATTAGATTTACACAAGAATGAAATGATTGAAAACAAGAACGCAATATTCTAAATAATTTACTCTATTTATGAATACCTTAGCTTCAGTGGTTCCGATGAAAGTCCGTTGTGGTTCATAACTTCCTGATGCTGGCTTGTCTACTCTGGGGCATTGTGTAGCACAGCATTGAGTTTGTCCCATGTGTCTGAGGCCGTTTGAACTTTGCCACAAGCCAACCGCGATTCGTGTATACAACACCTAAAATATTAATACATATTCTTAATACGTATATACATATATACGTGTATACGTACATAGTCTAAGTAAGGCCCATATTACTTAATTCCAATGTAACGACTTGTTGGACTGAGCTAATTATAACGTTTTCATATATAATGCGAGTAAACAAAATCTTTATTTAATGTGACTTAAAAAAGCTGAGCTTAAACTAAAATTATCTTTTAATTATGTATTAATATAGATTTAATGTAAGAAACATTCAGTATTGTATGTGTTTGGTTCACAAATTATATCGTGCTGACTTACAGTAAGCCGTATTTGTTTATTCAACTTATCAAGTTTAAAATGTATTTTAAATATTTAAAATATATTGCACCCTGAAAGTATACTCAATCAACAACACGGGACACTGTGGACGATTTGGTCCTTATTTCAAGTCCCGACCCTATTCATCGAGTTATTTCAATTTATAATATATATATTTTATTTATATAAAAATTTTGAGCAATAACATGATTAAAATGCATCTTACTTATTTGTTTTATGTACCTACAACGTGTATAGTTTTTTAATAAACAAAATTTTATATCTTTATCTAAGAAAAAACGAATGAAACTTTCCGTTTGTTTATCGCTTTCATAAGTTTATAAATGGCTACGAGGGCTAAAGAAAGCTTACAAATCGGTTTTTTATGTGTTCCGTAAAAGTTATTCGTCACTTCATAGGCTTTATTATGACGACACTTCTGATTCATGTTAAAGATTAAAGCAATTTTGGGTAAAAATAATCCCAATTATTTTCTGTATGGCTCTACAATACAAACAGGAGCAAAGAAACAGCCGAAAATGTGAAAAGAAACGGAGAAAATTATTTACCCTTGCTTCGCGTTTCTGTTGCGTACGCTGCGAACATGGGTCAAGATATACAACAATTTTCTTTATGAAAGAATGATTCCTCTTTAAATGATCTAAAATAATGTCCGTAACAGTATATGTCTGTCTTTTAAGATAACTTTCGAGAACGATGGGACGCGAAAGACGTCGTGGGTAATAGCTTAGATTTATAGAGTAGAAGAGGTTTGCAAAAACAAATTTAATGCCCCAAAATAACTATTCTACGCGGGACGAATATGCTGGCACAGCTATTTATTGACTATCTTTATTACAAGTCTCCTTTATAAACTTTCACTAATTGATCTAACTGAGACCAAAATCACACGACCACACTTAAACCACAAATATCATTAGACATTTGGCCCAACAAAAGCCGAGAACTTAGGCAATATTGTTAAGCTTGAGATTGGACGCTGATGTATCTCTAGTCCCAGAGGCTTGGATAAATGGCTCATACTATACATGAAAACGTACTGTATGTTTGTTCATGTACAGGAACAGCAAATAGCTTCCAACAATATACTCCCAGTGTACCGGCTGAATAGAATATGTAGTTGTTTGCTACCCAAAGAGATATATGGGCTGTACAATTGTTTTTTAATTTTTCTCTCAGAATAGTAACATGTTAAATACTATGTTTAATAAACTATTAAACAACTTTAAATAGAGTTCATCTATTTATTTAAATAAAACACTTTAACGGCTTAAAACGCGATATATTAGTTAAACTTATTTGAAAATGATTTTTAACTTACTGAAACGTCGGGCCGAAGTTAAAAATCATTTTCAAATAAGTTTAACTAATATATCGCGTTTTAAACCGTTAAAGTGTTTTATTTAAATGTGTACTACTTGCGTAAACTATAGACAGTAGAGTTCATCTATTTTTTTCTTATGTTACATTACTTTTAATTTCTGCAAATTAAAACGAATACATCAAAGAGAAAATTCAAAATACTCGTTTCTCTTAATCATTAATATTATCGTATTCAGATTCAGAAGATATACTATTAGTTCCCGTATTGTTTATTTATTATAAAAATATTTTTCAGATCTTCGGTTCCCGGTGACAAAGGCTGCTGCACAACGTCGAAAAGATCTGGGCGTAGTTAGAATAAATTGCAATTAATTTAAAAAGCGTAATATATTAGTACATTTCGCGTTTTAAACCGTTAAAAGTGTTTTATTGAAATCTTTTTCACACGAAAAGATTTTGGGAACGAAAAGGTTTGGGCTGGACTTTGTCGTTTTTACAAAAGATTTTATTTAAGTATGTCAAAATAATCATAACTCTACTCTCTCTAGTAATTAATATATATATAACTGGTGTTTTAGATCATAAGATTGTTTTAATGTAATGATGATTATTTTAGCTTACATTTGCATTCTAGCAGCATTAACATACTCGTAGTTTAAAATTATAGAGATTACCAACATCATGTGAGCGGCGCGACGTCATTAGCAAAATTAGCCAACTGATAAATAGACTTGGTTCTCAATTAGCTTGGTGGTACAATCGTGTGCATGAAAATACAGACGTAGATTTTCCAAGTAATATCATATAAATTTACTGTATTTCCTTCTTCTCCCTCTCCCTTTTAGTTTCCTTCATAATCAGTGGTACAAGCTATACAAACGACAGCGCTCTGAAAATTAGTCGTACTGACTTGATTTAAATTTTAAAACGCGAATTATATTAGTTATACTAATTTACAAATTACTTTGACCACGGCCCGTTGTTTCGGATTCTTTGTAGCAGCCATGGTGACGGGGAGACTAAATATGGAGCGTGTCTTTAATGTCAAAGTAAAAAACAGCTACGCTAGCGCCATCTGTTCCGTCTTAGTTGGTATTTAGCGAAACTGGCCAGGTCCTTGCAAAACTAAATAACGATGTTCTCGCGTTTACCGTACGTTATAATAATAATAACTCTTTATTGCACAAACAGAGTAGTGACTTGAGCTTGAAAAAGTATTTTAGTATGATCGGTAATAAGGTCGACGCAGGCGGAATAGAAACCATTATTCTACGAGCCAGCAGTTTCTTAACCAATAGAGTACTTATTTTAATCCTATATATAATTGTAGAACTTCTTCCGCGTAGAATTATAGTAGTTATTTTGGCCACCAAAATTTGTTTTTGTGTATAGATCATAGGTGTTACCAACGACGTCTTCCGCGTCCAGTTGTTCTTGCAAGTTAATCTTAAATTATTGAAATATATCTCGACATTTTTTTAAATCATTTAAAGAGGAATCATTCTCTTATACATATTTGTTATATCGGAAACCCACAAATATAAATATTTTTTCTTGTCTGAAGTTTACTCGAGTAAACAATACACACATTTAAATACAACACTTTAACGGTTTAAAACGCGATATATTTTAGTTAAACTTCTTTGAAAATTACTACAACCGTAGTCACGGGGAGAGCACGGCTGCTGCAAAGCATCCGGAACGTCGGGCCGTAGTTAAGTTTTTTTACATTTCCCGCTGTTTTTTCCATTTCATTTTTTTCGATAAGCTATCATGTGAATTTTATGAATATCACACATTCTTAGACTCACACATTCAATATTTTTCAAGTAACCAAAAGTTTTATAAATACTCATTTTATTATACACAAACCGATGAACACCGATCCATTTGTGTGGTATTGGATTCCCTATTTTAATGTGTTTCACGATCATTCACATAAAATACGTTTTAAGATATTTGACCGTGACTAAGCGTTCTCAGTGAACAGGTGTTTTAAATCTCTTTTATTATTAAAGTTTTATTAAAAATTCTTATATATGTACTGTAAGATGATTTATCGCCACTTACTAAGACAGGTAACAGAAGAACTAAATACCTGTGATTTTAAGTCGTAAACTATTGAATTATCATTAATTTACCTGCTTAAGATATAAAAATAACACCATAATATATGATAAAAAAAAAAAACAAATAACTTCGGTCAGGCAGGGCACAGATGACAGAACCATTTGACCCAAAGAAGACACAGAAATCTATCTGCCATTCGCGCCCTTTTACTCAAGCAGAAATAGCTTCCAAGTGACAAATAAGCTCATTTTATGGTTCGTAAATAAATGTTTTTCAAGAGAATCTTAATTAAGGAAGATTGAAAACACATTAATTATTGGTCATGTCAAAGTTGTTACTTGCTTAGTAGTATTATTGGTTGGGATAAAGATTGATTGAGTTTGAAACTTTAACAACCGATTTCACAAATGTTTTGTTTGAATTAAATTATTATAATTTTAATTTATATCCCGCTACTTAATATAGAAGTAATTAACAGAAATAAATGATTTGAAAATACGTAAATTTTATAGATTTAAACAGAGTGTTTTATTAATTAAATAGCGGAAAAGTCAATCCCAGTCACTTCCGTTTCCCTTCGAATTGCTCTCACGTGCTTGATTAATTTCCTGGCTGATTTATCTCATAGCGGCAAACATCTCGAGACGAAATTGTACAGACAATGCTCGGGGAATTGGCAGATATCGGAAGAAATTTCAAACCAATCCGTGGTACTTTGAAATTTCATGTTTGGCTTCATTCTTGGTAATATTTTTATTGAAACAAATATAATATAAGTCATAAAAGTAAACATAATATATTTGTGGTGGGCAAAGTAATTAGTATTAATTACAAAATAAAACGGTAAATTTAATAAAACACTTTAACGGTTTAAAACGCGATATATTAGTTAAACTTATTTGAAAATGATTTTTAACTTCGGCCCGACGTTTCAGTTCGTTCAGTCTCCCCGTGACCACGGCTGCTGCAAAGCATCCGAAACGTGGGCCGAAGTTAAAAATCATTTTCAAATAAGTTTAACTAATATATCGCGTTTTAAACCGTTAAAGTGTTTTATTTTAAATTATATTTATATCTAATTATTTTTTACTATTTTAATTTTGATATTCAAAATAAATAATATTAAAAGCTCACTAAATAGTTGTCACCATGTGTAGTACATTGCGTTATGTCCTGTAATGTACACTTTTTTAGTATGAAACCTTAATAAATGTTATTTTGCCTCAGTGCTTCACGCCATGCCCCGCGTCGGGAAAACGCGAACCCACTTTTTATATAAGTGAACGAATAAACATCCCAATTATCAAACAATTGAATGTAAATTGATTCAGCGTTGGCTTGTTGAATTGGATGTCTGTAATTTAACAATACTATCATTCAACGATTTCCTTTTAATTGTTGATTCTGTCTGGTTTAATGAGATATATTGCGTGCGGCTTCTTTTCATACAATTCATTAATTATTTAATAAATGGAGTTACCGCTATGAATCGATGAAAAAAAAAATAGTTTCTAACAGATCCTACTTAGTTTAAACCTTTTATCATTTTATTTCACCTAATTAATTTAAAAAATGTATGTCTTGGGCGTGCCTCAAATCCACCACCTGTGTTCTGTGCTGTTCCTCAACTAACTGATTTTAAACGGATCTTTACATGATCAAACAGGTAAAGAAAATTTACCGAAAACCCTCTTGAAAGGGTTAACAAGGTATTCACGGTGAACGTTTTAAATAACATATAAGTAAAAACCTTCTCGCCTTTAAACGTATTTTGGACATGGGGCCGTTCAAGTACTGCATAAACAAATTTCTCTCCCATTCTTAGGTAAATACGTAATTGGGTATAAATTTTATTTGTCCTATTATATAATAAGGTCTACCCAGATCCAGAAACTCATCAGTTTCACTTAGACTATGTTACAGTTATCGTAATTAATCTATGTCTATATATAGCAGAAGAGTTTGTTTGTTGTTGTTCGAATTGAAAAATTATTTTTACTTTGGTTAGAACATTTATCGAGGAAAGCTATAGGCTATACAACATTGCGCTGTGAGTAATAGGAGCGAAGAAGCAGCGAGAAATGAGAAAAAACGGGGAAATATTTCATCTCTGTTGGTTTCAGATGCGTATGCCGCGTAAACGGTTCAAGACAAACCAATAAAACATATATAAAAGAATGATTCCCATTTAAATGATCCAAAAAAAATATCCGCGACAAGAACGACGGGACCAGAACACGGGTCGCAAGCGACGGGACGCGACCGAAGTCGTGGGCAGCTGAAATTCTATAAAGATGAGACTAACCATAAAGATGTAGAGGTTTGCAAAACCAATTTTGTGCCCAAAATAACTATTCTACGCGGACGGAATCGCTGGCACAGCTAGTATTCGATGTTACAATTACCAGCCATTCCCTATTAGTTGATAAGGTAAGATAGAAAATACGATCTTATTCTCTAGGCTATCTATTACGTAATATAAGCTGAAAATAGCAATTGTTATTTGTTTTGTCCCGTTTTTCATCATATCGAAATATTAGTTGAACTTCTTCTCTAAAAGTTTAGAAAGCTTTGCTTCTTGTTGATACAAACTTGGTAGTAGTATTCATTTGGCTGCATTTCAGCGTTCATAACTTATAATGGCTTTTTATAAGTTTAAATTGTAATTCTCTGGAATGTACGTAATGAAAAGTAGTTTTGCTTTAATATCTTAGAAACTTGATTAGAGATGGGCTAAATGTTTTAAACGAAACCGAACTTCGGCCGAATTTCGTGTGTTTAAAATAGATTTTTAGTTTAGTGATTATTTTTGTCATACCTATATAAATTAGGAAAACGCAGTATAGAACGACCTGAAAAAAGTAGCCGGCAGCAAATGGATAAATAGAGCTCATAAGAGGTTCGAGTGTCATTTGGGAGAGGCCTACGTCCAGCTCTGGACCCAAACGGATAATGATAATGAATGACATAAATTTGAAAAATACACTACTCTTAGTACACAAACAACAATAATTTATCACGTTTAATAAATGCTAAGTTAACCTGTTTTTTGTTCTGAACGACTGGCGAATATTATAATTTGGTTTCAGCTACCGACATTCGGATAGCTAAACCGAACCGAGGTTTGCCCCTTCCTAATAAGTAGTTTACTCTGAATTTTAAAGACATTTATCGTAATATAAAGTGTTCCTAGCTAAGGTAATAGAGTTTGTAAATTATGGGGACCTATAATTGGCTTCGTTGCAATTACTTTGCAATTTTACAGAGTTCGAGAACAGTTTAATAAGTTTGCGGACTACAGTGTCATGCTTACCTGCACACCTTATATCTGCTATTATTAATAACCTACGAGGCTGTAGAACAAAACGTATATATATCAACGTTTATATTTAACGACTTAAGACGTGATTATTTTTAACTATAATTCGACATTTTAGATGCTTTTAACGCAGCTGCACAACTACATAATTTCGTTCACTGCGTTAATGAGTATTTTTATGGACTACAAAATACAGAAGCCCAAAATTGTCGATTTCATTTGATTAAAAAAGGAATATAAATACGACGACTCTTCCACTTCTTGATGGTATATCATATAATATATGAATGACTGTCAAAACAATGTGTGCGAGTCATAAAATTTGTATAAGGAAATTGCCTAAGATCGTTGAAGAAGAAGACGTAAAATGATCGCAGGGTTTTGTTTTAGTACAATAGGAGAGAGATTCACAAGGGCCTCATATTGTGATCCCGTTCGTTTAGACAAAAGGGTAGTTTCGTTGATTGACATCTCAATATAATATTATTTTAGCCAAAGGAATAAATATATAATGTTTTACGAGAAAGCCAACTTGAACTCTGCGCCAAGATTATATCCAAGATTTTTTAAATAAAGTAAAAGGAACTTACCGTCATGACGCAGAGAGGTGTGACATAAAGCAGTCCAAAGTTGACCATGTCGAAAATTTCGGAATTGTATTTCATACGGTGTTGAATGCAGATAGTCTCTAAGTGACCATCGCCCAGGTCATTTGTTATAGTCTCTACCCATATGAATTTGGGTGCACTGTACGCTGCACTAGTTATCCACACTCCCAGGATGACTAACTGTGAAGAAATTCACATATTATGCAAGTAAAAAAGCAATCGTCTTAAGTGCTTAAATATATATTTCCAATCTTTTCAGTAGGTATGCAGTCAATGTTATTGGTTGGTGGAGTCCTATCGTTTTACTCATGTAAAACGACTATATATTTGGTTAAATACAACACGGTAGCGGAATTCCTAAATAAATATTGTTACTACTTTCGAACTCTTTTCGATGTTTATAAATAAACCACACAAAAGACCACTTTCTTCCCTATACACGGGATAAACCTTGCTTGATAACGTGGTATTCAATATAAATAAGGGTCTACGAAAAGATTGACTGGACATGTGTTTACCATAAACCTTGCCGTTCAATACAAAACATACATTTAGAGAATCGACATTATGTTTAATGTCGATTCTTTAAGAAAGTTAAATTTAAAATATAAATCTATCTATAAAATCTATGAAACCTCTCCATACAATATAAAATCAAAATAAATATAATAAGAAATTGTAAATAACTAAATTGGGTATTAGAGGTGCATATGATTTGTTTCTGAAATCAATTTAGCCAAATATAGGAGTCGAAAGAAAAACTCGCCCAAATTGGGTTTTAATTAAATAGTTCATTTCCTAACATGTCAAACTATAAACCCATATAACATAACACAACAAATAAATGTGTCCTATCAACTTTACGTACTTGTAAAGACAAAAAAATTAAGTGACAAATAATACAATTATAGAGTATTACATAACATAACATGTGCTTCTTTGTGTCGGCTACATCCAATGGCATCCATTCTATGTTTGTATATTGTAGTGATTTATAATTGGTAACGCTCGAGTGATTTTTGATCATATACAATATACATATTCAACTCAACTCAACTTACCCGAAGTCTTCTCGAAGTCAGTATTTGTTTACATGTAATAGGATGTATTATCGCGAAGTATCTCTCGGTACATATCACAACGAGGATAAATATTGATGCCGTGTAACTTAGGGAATGTACAAATTGATACATTTTACATAAGAAATCTCCGAACACCCAACTGCAAAAAAAAAATAAAACCTTAGGGAAACTTCAGTGATTTATATACTACTAGATATGTTTATACAACCGTAACTCATGAAAATTTACTATCAATTTTTATGTATAATTTAAATGGTTTTTTAAATTGGGTTGACAGACAATAAATCTCGATACAGCTGGCTCGTTTTACTGGCCCATAGTCATTGGCTGTCTGGGATAATTAATGATAGGTATATAACGGTAAGCGTTTAGGAATAAATTTTATTCGCTAAGTTAACATTGATAAAATTATGTATGAAATCTTTTTACATGTCATTGCACATTAAGGCACTATATAATTTAAAAATCGAAAATAAAATGAAAAAAGAGCAACAGCATGGAACGCTGACGATGCCGGTTCAAGTCCTGCCCGAATCGAAAATTATTTTAATTTATTTTCGATTTTTAAAATTATTATAAATTATTTAACTATACCATTTGTATAGTTAATAAAATCTATTCAACAGTACATTTGTCGTGCGTGAATACTTGTTACCAAAATTTTGTTTTTAAATTCACTATCAAAGGCTCGCTTATATTATCATGCCTCATCCGCGTACCAGGTCACGCGTTTGAGCGCTTCGTAGTAGAAGCCTGAAGTTTGTTTTACAATAACTTATTGCGAAAAACTTCGCGGTTTTCTTAAAAGTGTTTGAAATTCCCGGAAAAGAAAAATTGGCCTTTATTAAAAAATAATGCCAAGATATATTGTTTGTATGGCTTGAAAACACGTGTCGTTTTGTTTTTAATAATCCTTAAGCTTACAACAGAAAGCTATTGATAGCATCTTAACTACGTAATTGTATTGTTGTTCGAAATATTTTCATAATAATTATACAACAGATTCGTTTGTAAATACGACCTGTGAATGAAAAAAATCCAGTGGAATAAACATTCTCTACCGAAATAACGCGTGCAAGTAAACAGAAGAATAAAAAGTATTACCGAGGCAACGTGTTGTGTTTACGAGACAGCTAACAACCAATGCGCTATGGCCACGGCTAAGGCCAGTCTATATTCGAATCTACTCACCTGGGTATAAGGTATATAGTTAAATTTTGGAAGACACAAAACACGCCAACACATAAGTCTGCCACCGCTAGATTGGCTAGAAAGAAATTAGTTATGGACCTCAATCGTCTAGAAAGCGTTACCACGAGAATAACGAGGAGATTCCCTGAAACAAAACAAACATTACCTAACTTTACTTATCTGTTTTAAAATAAGTTTTGTGAATATTTAGTGTCATATATAGAAAAACATATTTACTAATTATTATAATTACTTAATAATGTTTCCCGCTTAAATCACTGTTATTTAATATCAAGTGGTTGTATGAGCGCTATCTAACAAACGAACAGTAGGGTTTTTTAGCAAAAAGATACTGCAACTTATGCTGGAGTTTTTTTGGCGTCACTTTTATTTAAATTTAATTTAATCTTTTCATTTTTTCATTCTACTACTACTACTAATGAATGCCAAATAAAGAGATATATTTATTATTAAATAAATAATAAATTTGATGACATAGACGAGGCATCCTCTAACACCGGTACTATAATTACATTAAATTGTGATATTTAGTTATAGTAGGTATAGATTATGGAATAAACTATAAAAAATACAAACCAACAAGTAAATAAACATATGAATGTTATACAGATTCTCGTGGTACTATAGCAACTTTTACGAAACATTGATTTAATTAACTCGAGTTAAAGGTACGCCAGGTTTGATCTTTCAAGGAACCAAAACCCCCCGCATGTGAAGCCCGAAGGCAGAGATGGATATGAAAGCAGCTGTGAATTTAATTAAGCTGAGACAAAGTGTGTTTGAAATTTCACGAAATTAGTATTAAACATTTTATGTTCAGGAAAATATAATGTAAGTAAAAATCGTCCATATATTTTAATACACTACTTTGTTTACAAAGTAGAACAAATTTTGCGTTAAACTGTTTCTACGCTTAGATAGCATTGAGTTAGCATATATATTACTTTTTGTATCTAATACGCGACGGTCCAGTGGCCAGTTATTGGACTGTTTCATCACACTTTTCAATTTTTTAATTGATATGTAGTTCTTATAAATGAATCTTACTACTTACTTATAAAAGCTTCTTTTTTAGTGCACTACTAAAACTATAAAACACGACGTCCCGGGTTCAAATCAATGGGCCAAATCTTGTATTTTTAGATATTATTAGATAGAAGAAGTGATATAACCCAAGTCGTCGGGTTCAGGGTCATATACTCGTTAAGTCGGTAGTGGTCTAGTGTTAATCCACACTTTAGCAGCGTGGTGGGTTTTAAGTCACATTCGATACGCGAGATGAGATCTTATTCCCGTCAGTGGGGCATTAATATGTTGAAAGTAAATGTTTAATTTTATTTAGTCTAAAACTTTGCTTCTTAGTTCAAACTTCGTCGTAAATCACGTGATATTTACATTACATTTATGTGTTATATTCACATCTTACCGAAGAAGCAGCAACAGAAGACGAGCGTGTACAATGTGATAAATATAGCTCTAACATCTGTTCTGTCAAATATAAATTCTTCATTTTGTAGATTAAATTCACTTTCGTTAGCCGTCGTTGTATTTCCGAGATCGTCGTCATTTTCATTCTTTGTGCTATTGAATGTTTCCGTATAGTAGGACACGCCATTCTGTTCGATAAAGTAATTCATACTAAGCATATTTCGTGTACATTTATCGCTCCACTGCACACATAAATTCGTAGTCGTCCATCTGAAAGGAAAATACATTTTTGATTGAAATATCTATTTGCAAGAATGTTACACAGTAAAATCCCTCTTTATTCATTCCATAGTTATTTATATACAATCTTCTTAACTGTGTACAATAATACTCAAACAGAGAAATATGATCTAGTCATATGTACATCATGTATCCAAAGCCTAAAAAGGTCGTTAGCGCATCTTGGTTAGATGCTATAGGCTGGCGTATATCACCTACCATCAAGCGAACCCCATGCCATGTCTGTTCTCGTCTATCATGAAAAAGAAACATCTGACTACCGTTCATGAGGAAGGTCGGTCGGTTTGTCTAAGGTAAAGAAAACCTTCGCAAGTGTGTGATAAACTGAATTTGACGCGTTTGAATAGCATGGTGGGTCGAACCCGAGTTCTGTCAGTGATGGTGATGATGTATAGGCTGATGATGAGGAAAAAAATAACGTGTAGAGAAGGCTACGACTATTTATAATGCAGTGGAGTTTTTATACCTACCTCCTACCTCAGTGGTTTTGTTTATGTTACCTAAGTATATCTAACATTTAATACCCAAAATAAAAAGAACATTTGAATATTATGTAATATAATTTCAATAGCTTTTTAACTAGATTACCAACATCAATTTGCTTGTTTTGTAACCATAATACGTTTTATCATTAAGGCCAATCAATATAACTCGGCTGATTAAAATAACATCACATCACACTTATCAAATTCACGGAAGGCATTTCAATGAAACAGTTTTTAAGTAAAAAAATAACCTTGATAGAATATATCTCATTCCATCTTAGAATAATATATAAACGACGGGCTCGGTGGTCTAATGGTAGCAGTGCATGGCTAATAATCAACGATTCGTGGGTTTGATCCCCACCAGGTCCACCATGCTTCTAATCTTTCATTTTATAATTTTTCTGAAACATTTGGACTTCGTCTGGAAATCTGGATATTAAGTGGTTGGTAGGCATATCGAAATTCCATTCGGATCACAAACCACCGTCCAAAGAATTTCAGAATAGCGACGAAGTTCCCATACAGTTAACTATAAAAGTTATTTGTTTAATTATATCTCTAAATATTTGTTGTTATAGCTACAAAAGATATGTACATCATTTACGAAAATTTAAACCGAAGTATCACGGTTCGTGTGATAAAGCCTTGTGACAGTAATAGGCTTTTGTTTTACCCTTGCCCAAAGATTGTTTGGAATTTAACGAATTTACGTGAAAATTATTTAAAAGACCTTTAATTTCCGAAAGTTTGAACTACTTTATTACCGTCTTAATGTTGAAAATAAATAATTTTCTATGAAGCTCTAATTTCATTTATAAACTAGCTGACCTGGCAAGCTTTCTTTTGTCGTATGAAGTATTTCAACCACAGTTAATTTCCATAAAAACGGTTGTTGTGACTTTGTGAGTAAACTTAAAAGATAGACGTTCACTGTCGCGGATTTTTTCATCGTGAAATACCGTTTTCCCCTAGTGGGGCATGGGGCGAACACATTTCTGTGTCAGTTTCACCGATCCGTTCTCTAACAGGCAAGTAGTTGATCAGACTTCTGTGCCCTGTCCGACCGAAACAATTTTATGTTTCCCTGGGATTCGAACCCAGGACCTCTCGCGCTTAACGTTTAACTATTTGGCTACCGAGGCGGTCTTTTTTTATTGGGGAGACCCCCGTCTTCCCGTGACCACGGCTGCTGCAAAGCATCCGAAACGTCGGGCCGAAAATAAAAATAATTTTCAAATAAGTTTAACTAATATATCGCATAGTGAGTATTTAATCTTATATATATGATTTACTAAAGGATAAAGATGTGTCAGCTATAAAATATGCTAACACACCCCATGTGACCGAATCGTGTTGTTGCATATATTATAAAGGTACAGCATAGCTAAGCAATATCATGCCATGTCCGGATGTCAATAAATGAATCAGACAGTTGACGTCTATTTTTTTACGTAGAAGCTTTAAAATATAAATGATACTACGAACCTTTATATCCTTTTCGCTTAAAATAGAAAAAGAAAATTAAAGTCTAGTAATTAAAAAGAAGCTTTTTATTAGTATTATTTTGTCATTTGGTATTGAATATTATTCTTATATATCATAGGAGAACCGATTTAATATTTTGCTATATACAACGTCAGCAGTCGAGAAGCTTATTTTTTTATTTCATACCTATTATGTTGTATATCATTCTCAAACGCGGTTAGGGCCTGTAGCCGTTATTTACTTATTATTATAGCCTCCTTCTTTTTTGCAATAAAATTAAGTAATTGCAAAAAAGAAGGAGAGAAAATAAGACGAAAAAAGGGCTAGTAGCATTAAGGATATTTAAATCTTTTTATATTTAAACCGTTAAAGTTGTTTTATTTAAATGTGTACTCGCGTAAGCTATAGACAGTATCTTTTTATAATTTTTTATTATTCTTCCTTAAGAAAAATGTTTATAAACAACATTGAAACTTTTTGTATATATAACGAAATTTTTCGTCTTAAAATCGTAGGTAACTTCAGCTTAAACTAAGGTTATAAAGTTTAATCAATTGCGATGAAATCCAAATAGTTTTAATTGCTTTTCCGTAGCCGTTGTCAGTAAGTTAATTCGAGTATTAACGAAAACAGTTTGCCCCATGCATAGGGGAAATGAGATTTCACATACTCCACAGACTTTTAAAGTAACATTAAGTTACTTTTAAAGTTATTTATTAATGCTATCATAATTAAGCATAGTACGTTTAATAACTCATACAAATAGGTTCGTTAGTACTTTAATGTATATCGTCCGTCAATTAACGATATTGATGACATCGCAGCATCGGCAAATGGCCATAATTGGTGGTATTGCTTGTTATGTTACAACTCATTTAAGCTGTTCTATTGAATTATACGTTTACAATAGCTTTTAAACCACGAAACACGTTTACTTCTTCTTCTTTCTAGGCTTCTCCATTCTAAATGGATTCTTCCTCTTTGAAAAATTAAGAACAGTCATTAAGTCAATTTTAATTATTATAATACATTATATCGATCATATCTTTTCATGCCATAAATCAGTGTTAATGTTTTAGCGATTCGAATTGACGAACAGTATACATTCTTTAATTAAAATATTTGACAGTTTGAACCCTGTAATTTATTTTAACCACGGTCGGACGTTTTGGAAACTTTAAGCTACCGTGGTCACGGCTATAAATATTCAAGTTCTTAGATGAAAATTTTTCCTTTTGCTTTGTATTGGTGTCTTGTTCCTTCCGGAATTTTTCATTAAATTACAGTGCAAGCGAAGTTGTAGATACAAGATAGCGCTGTATAAATGTGAGATGATTTTAGCTCGTATTAAAAATAAGAGCAGCTAGCTTATACGACATTCTTCGGATTTTAAGAAACTTTGTTTGTACCTAAGCAGATCATTTTTAGATGTCGTAGCGTCATACTAACATGAACATGGTTTGCAAGCCGTAAATTTCGCTTTATAGCAATAAAACCGATATTGCGAAGACCCTTAGTAATAAGAATCAAAATAAAAACCAACATTTAAAGTTAAATTCAATTTAAATGTGCTGAAACATTTGCACATTTTATCCAATTACGTGTTCAGGGGAAGGTAAAAACATTTCTAAATTGGATAGCTTTGATGTGAGGCGGAGAATTTTCGGCATTGGCTATCCTTTGTGTATCATAATCTGTGATACAATATTTTCAGTCAATTTTTTCTATCTGTCTTCTGAATTGAGAATAAAATTACAATCCATAAGACATTGGACACAGCTTGTAGTATTTACAATACGGAATTAAAAAACACGTTAAATAAAGAAATGAATGTAATATCATAAAATAATATAAGTTGGTTCCAAATTTCATTTCGAACAGCTATTTTGAAATATTCAAGAAATTTTTGCCTATCTTATATTGCTTTAAGGAGAGTTACCCCTGCACATGAAGATCGTTCGCTTCGTATATATCCATTCTTTTTATTCGCTGGCTATTCGCATCGCAGCTCGCACTTTTCATGCCTTGATTATATATTTGTCGCTAGACTACTCGCCGTTCGCATCGGCGATTGTCTCGTAGTCAGGTCGACAGCGCTACAGAGTGCTACGCCGTCTACGCTCTTGCGTGTTTGTTTCTACTATAAACGTTAAACTAAACATTTCCTTATTGGCCTACAAGCAACAAATTTGTTTGATCCACTGATTTCAATTTATACGGATATCAAAGGGTAAGGCGAAGGAAATTAAATATGCGTAAACAACATCTAGGAATTTGGAATCGTATCTTCTTCGTCTTTATACTTATATTTATTAGTCATTAAACAAAATATATATACTATTTACTATATTCGTTTAAATGAACAGAGGGACACTTACGACTATTTTATCGTTCAATTCATTAAATAAAATTTGATTTATCCATTCGAGAAGGGCCATCCATACCATAATAGGAGTATACAACTTTTTTTTTGCGTCGGAGGTTAAAAAGAAACAGAAAGTATGAGGAACTACATTCTCCTAATTTATCAAGTTGAATCAAGGGTCGGCGGGTCATCACTAACTTCGCCCTGATAAATTAAGGTCAATATCCCAACAACTCTCTGAATCGTGGAAAATATAAGAGAGGCTAATGATGATGACATTCAAAAAGTCACTTCAATGTTTATCTTCACTTGTGAAAATAAATTAAATAACTTAATGTCCTGAAACTAAGATAATACGAGTTACCAAATGTAGCGACAAGCTTTTATATTATTTTAATTGTGTAACTACGTTACAACACAGTACAATGACGGTTTGTTTTCTTCTTTTTATCTGTGGTTTAAAAAAGGTTTTCTCAACATATCTATTCTCATTTTCATAGACAAAGCAATTGTTCTAGTGGAGATTATTTGCGGTGGAAAAGCGCTCAAAGAACACAAGACTACACTACAA